AGCTGGTGCTAGGCAATTCTTGTAGTGCAAAGACAGACATACTGTGCCTGTAGCTTCCTAGTGGGATCAGAATAAGAATGAGGTTCCTGCACTAGAGGCTGCTGCAGCCCTGGTGACGAGGGGGTGGCAAGCCCAAGGCTTCCCCAGGGCTGCAGCGAGGCCGGAGGCCAGGCTTTGCCTCCTCCCTGCAGCACCTGAACAGAGCAAGGCAGCTTCTCGCTCTGTGCAGAAACTTCCTTAGACACTGCCCCTGCTTTGGAGCAGGCTGCAGATGTGGGGAACAGAAGTGTAAAGTCAAGAATACATTTGCAGCCCTGTCTTTAAGGTTTTACGCTGAATTCAGCCTTGAACTTCTGCTCCTTTTTTAATGTTTTGTGGTTGTCAAGGTCCATAGCAAAATGAAAGAACTGTTTCTTACAGATGCTGCTAACTAAAACTGGATTGTTCAACCTAAATCATATGCTATATCTGAGGATTTACCAAATCTCACAGCAGTAATTGCCACAGTACTTATTGTTTCAGACTGAAATTACAAATTACTACCTCTTGGGATGTTAAAATATAAAAAAGGATTTACTCAGCTCCTAAAGGAGTCTCGCCTGCCAGTTAGAGCCAGCAGTTCTCTAGCTCTCCTCCGATAATAGAAATAGAATCAATTCAACCATTCAGATCCTGAATAAAACGGAGAGTGGGAATTGCACTGAGTTGCTTGCCTCCTGACTCACTCCAGCTTGAGCAGAAAATGACTCAGAGATGCTATTCCCTGCCCACTCCTCCCATCATCACTGTGGGGAGGGAGGCAGGCAGGGCATATGAACCAGATGAAACACTAGCATCTTCAGTCAATGCTTAGCAAATACATGTTGTTTCCTAATTTGTATTGATTGTCACCATGATTTCCAGTGACAGCAGAATGCAAGTTACCCCATGTGCTGGGAAGTCATCCCGCTGAAACAGCTGGGAAAATCAAAATTGTGAGGCAAGATGCACACTCTGCATCTAAGGTGTGCACTATTGTACCTATTAGTAAATATAAAAGACCTGGCAGTCTAATTTTGAAGTTACTAATGATAAAATAATACATGTAGGATTTGTTTTGCTGGTAGGCCTGTACATTAAACTTCTTTTTTTTTGAGTCTGCACAGCATCGACAGAAGAGCAACACAACTCAAAAACAAATCTCGTACTATGATAGGCTAGCTCAGAAAGTAATATCCTAGTAGAAATAAAATTGGGGTAGGTTTACTAATCCAATAGTCCTATTCCCATTTGAGAAACAAAAATCCTTTTTAGACGTGTTTGTTATTAACAATCCCTCGTAGGGTCAGACTCTTCAGTGAAGACTTTGGGCTTTGTGGAAAACATATTCAGGTGAATGGAGCTTGATGGCTGCTTTCAATGTACTTAGTTCTGCTTCCTGGTAAACTAGGCGTCTGCCTAGTCTTCTGATAGACTATTGGCCATCTGTAAATCTAAACAAGTATATATAGTAAATGATTTTACTTAAGTTACAGTTTTACAAAGTTACAGGACTAAGAAGCAATTTAAACATAGAATATCGTAGTTTTAGGGATCAGTGTTCCAATTACTAATTTATGTGACAGGAATGGCCTTCCTATATTTCAAATAGAGCCAAAAAAGAGGCTTTGGCTTGCAGTAAAACATTGCTGCCACCTCAAAAATGACAGCCAGTCCTAAATAAATAGTAGTTCTAAGTGCTGGATTACATCAGCCCCAAGCTGTGAGTTTACTTTTCTGTCAAGAGCAGTTATTACAAGGATCACTGAATCAATGCCAAACTAATACTAGCCACTAGCCTAAAATGAGTGAAAAGATATATATGCAACTCTGAAATGCTCACTGCAAAGACTCCTTCCCTTATTCCTCTCGAAATACCCACAACACGCAGAAATCTGAAAGGCTTCAGAATTTCCCAGGGACTGGGTTTCCTGCAGCACCTGATCCGTCTTCTCCCACAGTGACTCCTTCCTCCTCCTTCCTGGAGCTGCCGTGACTCAGCAGCAGCACCTCGGCCACCCTGCACAGCGCGGCCGCGAGCCCCGGCCACCACGGGCGAAGCTGCCGCAGCTCCAGTGCAACTGCCCTGCTAACACCCCTAGCACCAGAGGGTCCCTGTGAACAGGGCTTTATTGGAGGTGTCCCCTGAGAAGGCTGCTGGTTTTGTAAGGCAACTCATTAAGAACCCAACCTTCACTGACGCTGCAGCTGTTCCAAGATAGCACAGTCTGGCTGTGCTTGCACAGTGCTCTCACAGTGCTACAAGGGCCATGCTGACACACATGCGCTCACACCTCCTGACCCCCCTCCACAGACTGGGTACCTATCCCAGCACCACTCACAACAAGACTAGATAATCTGGAGGTAAGCAGACCATCTCGGAAAGGAGAGCTACTGAATGGCCAAAGGACAACAATCTGGCTATCTGCGTATCTGGCTTATCTGTCTTAGTTCTTCAAACTTCTTTCTTTAGCTTTCTATTTATTTATCATAACAAGAATTTAAATGGCTCCCTCTTGTGGCTTGAGAAATGCAAAACTTGCTCATTTGAAGAGAGGTCTTGAACAGAAAGTAGAATTCCTCTATAAGCATTTATGTGTGTGTATATACATACATGTATGGTATACATCTGCCTAGAGCAATCTAGCTATCAGTCTATGGCAGTGACTGATGAGCACACACTTACCCCTTGCAGCTTATGTACTCTTGGAAGGACCCACTCAGGAATTTACTGACTGCCTTCAGCTGCGTATTCTTCGTAGGGGGACAGGAGAGAAAGGATCATGAATGATAGGTCGTGTCCCACTTAATTTTGTATGGCAGACTAACCTATATCTGTGTCCTGCAGATAATTTTGTCTTTAAACTCTTCTCTAAAGTGTGAGAACAGAATATCTGGATAGCACAACTTCCTTGGGTTTGATACCTCTTTTCCTAGGTGAGTAAATCCAAACTCTCAAACAGGTGAAGGAGGGTAACCGGAACTCTGAAGGAAAGCTGTGAGCATAAATGACTGATTGGTAGGAAGCATAAACTGTATTTTGATAATCCTTCACCTCTTTCCTTCTTCCTGGCATTCATTAGCTCCTAAAACTTTGGCTCAGACTTTTAAATCGTAAGGGTTTTCTTCCCAATGTCTAATGGCTATAAAGTTACAAAATGAAGTGAGACTCTGCCGTAAAATAGTGGCATGCTCTAGCAACTTTGGATACTGAGCAATGATCTTGCAAACAGACTTGGGAGAGGAAAAGTCCTTGTATAAGACATACTGAGGTAATAGTGACCTCATTAGGCTAATTAAACATATACACAAGAAACCTCTACTAAAGCTTATGAGAAAGTACGTCTGAAAGGTTTTGGTCCAGGACTACTGATTCCAGTTCTGTGGCTTCTCACAAATGTTGTCAATTAATATTTATTTGTTTTCCTTTAATGTTTAGGCTTCCTGTAGAGGACTAATAATGCAAAGGGCTTTATGGCTTGATAAACCTACTTTCTCAACTAATCTCTTCTCTGAGAATTAAGTTCTTACGGCTTACACTGATTCAGAAGTCTGATGGTGTATATTCAGGAGGCTTAAGCTCACCAGTCTGAAGGATGGGGCTTTTAAAAAATGCTGTATTGTAGGTCTTGATTTTGTCATTGTCCTTCTTTGTAACATGTTTTCTCTGTCACAGCCTTGTAGATTTTAACTGTAAGAATGGCAATATGGCTATCAGATTTTAAAAAGGTATTTTTTGATGCTAAAACTATTGAGAAATTATGGAATGACACTAAGACTAGTATTGAAAAGCATGCCCCAAGAAACCTCAGGTCAGTGCTCTGCATGCTTCATAGGAAGAAAATTAGATTCATGTTTCCTTAGTGATCTTTTATGCTTTGTTCCAGCTTAATTTGGGGCTATTAGGTATTTATGAAACATAATGCCTCTCAAATAAGGTTTAGACTTGGTATCTAACATTGCTTCCTAATGTGTGCAGGATTTTGGCAGGCAAAGTTTGATATGTATGTTGTCTTAATGCTTCCTCCTCCAGCTGAAGGAATTATTGTTTGTGTCACAGATTGTCCTACATCTGGAATGCCTGTCCTACACCTGGTATCTCTGCCTGATTTCCATGCAGTTCCTGCTACCAGATGTTCTTACAGACAGGAAGCAAAACCAGGAACATCACAGCTCCCTGTAACATAGTCTGCAATCCTTAATAAGGAATGTGGTAAAAGCAACTTCCACATTATGTCATAATCTACGGTCATTAAACAGAGAAAAAAAAAAGTGGTGAAACCAAGATTAGTACTGCAACTCTAATCTGACCTCTCTCTAAAGGAGATCAAATTTTGTAACAGCCTTTCACACGCTATGAGAACTTAAAGGACTATGGAGTTATCAAGCTTTTCATAACCATGCATTGCTTTTAGCAATCTATCTTTGGCATATGTGGGTAAAAGTGACCAAGGCATATTCCTGGACTTGACCTTATAAACTGTACCATATAAAATAATTACAGCTTTAATAGGCTGCAAGATTAAAAATATTCAATTTACACCATACATATACATATCTGAAGATGAAGAATTTCTGTGGTTAAATTATTACTTTGTGGTTCTAGAAAAAGAACCAATAACTTGAGTTTAGTGGGGTGGGGCGGGGGAATAAAAGCTTGTGCATAACCAGCTTCCTACCACTTCCCTGTTTTGTGGTATTTTTTTAAGGTCTCTCCTCTGTTCAAGACACTCTAGCAATATACTAAATGTGTGGCAGTTGCATAATGTAATTAAGCACTTTTCTGAAGAATGTGTTCTGCTTACTTTATGTTCAACCCCATTCACTTTCTTTTTTCACTGGAAAAGAAAGCATTTGATAGTATTTTGGCATTACTGGTTTTTTTTTTTGCATTCTTTTAGGTATATGAAATTGTTGTTCCCTCTCTGATATGAATGTACATCTGAAGTGTTTACCTGAATCAAATGTAACTTTTTTCTTAGGGCTGGACATTGGCAGTGGGAGATTAACCTGCACTGCAGGACTGTGCACATACATACATGTAGACAGGACACAAAGCAGAAACCTGGAGCCTCAGAAACACAGAGGCAGTCCTGAGCTACAGGCTCCTGAAGAAGGAGAAGGGCTGCGGCCTTCTCAGCAGGTCAGTCTGGCATCGGGTGCATCCACAGACAGACCAGCAACAAAGGATTAAAGGCAGTCGTCACCTTCCCCCTCACTTGGCCCTCACCCTTCAGAAAAGCTTTGATTCTTGCTCTAACCTGACATTAAGACAACCTACGAGGTACCGTTGTCTGTCTTTCAACCTCGCCTAACCTACCGTTATCTGTCCTCCAACCTCGTCTAACCGCTCCCGCTCTGGCAGCCCGCGCCGCAGCAGACTGCCCCAGGGGCTGGCGCCGGAGGCCCGAAGCGCGTCCTGCGCTTCTAAACCCTCCCTGTCCCCAGTCCCGCCACCTCGTCTCGCCTCGCCGCGAGGACCCC